ATGGAGATTAGCATGTGGTATTGGGGATGCTCTCAGCTTCAACACCTACAGAGGAAGGGAAGGAAGCGGCCTTGGTCAAAGGGAGAAGGTGGGGTGCCAAGTAGTCTCGACAAAGGCCTCAGGTGACCCCACAGAGAGTTGTGTTTTGGTTTGTTTGGTTTTTTTTTTTTTTGCGGAGGCACTGGGGATTGAACCCAGGACCTTAGGCATGCTAAGCATGCACTCTGCCACTGAGCTATTTCCCTCCTCCCTCTACAGAGAGTTCTGAAGCTAGGATGGCCTTTTGAGTTGTCCTGAGTTGGGGGTGAAGGGACCAGGCCTTTACACCCCAGCTTCAACCAGTCCCTGGATGCCTGCTGTCCCCAGAGGGGAGGGTGCAAGTTTGGGTGAGGAAGCTCTCTTCACCTGGGGGCAGTTCCTGAAGAGGGCGGATAACTGAGGGCTGTTAGCCAGCAATACTCCCAGCAGCTAGGGCAGAGGCCCTGCAGTCGTGAAGGTCCGCCTGGGTGGCCTGTTGTGGTGTGTATTACTCTTTATGCTACCCAGATCCACTTCCTCGTATAAGTTCTGGGAGCAGCTCTACTTTTTCCTGGGGAAACTGATGGCTAATGGGACAAACCCCAGCCCCCATCACTGCAGCTGATCTTGAGGCCCCAACTGATGCTCATCATCTCCCTCCTTACTCTTGATTCTTCTCACCCTCAGGAAGCACCCCTGCTGAGCCCCTGGTCGCCAAGCCCTTTTTAGGTCATGGCTGCTGCACTTGTCTGTTTACCATCAAAACCGAGCAAGAGTGTAACAGAGAGACACCCAGCTGGATCGTCTGCTTGCCAAACATCATCCTTTTTGCTCCCATTGTGTAACTAGAGTCCTGGTTCCTCCTGATGATCAGGGTCAATTACGGCTGCCAGGATGGTGACTCCTGCTTCTTGCCTGCTAGTCCCTGGGCATAAGAAGCTCAAAGTGCCTAGTGGCAAGTGTGAATTAGAGTTCAGCGGGACTTTTGCTATAACCCCCTGCTGGAAATATGTTCTCTTTGGGAATCAGGACCTCAAAACTCTCAAAGCTCAGAGTTGTGGTGACAGAAATACCCCAACGGAGTTAATGGTAAGTGGAGCCACTCCTTCCTGCACGCCTTGGTTCCTGGACCTATCTGTCCTTCCTACTGGGACACAGCACCATATTGATTGCTGATAAGAGTGTATGTAAACTGTGTACTTAGTTGGTAGCATATCTGTGCTGGCACCTCAGCTGTGCCTTCACAGGCGTCTCCTCTCTGCTCAAGCTGGTGTCTTCTGGATGGTACAGAATGTGGCAGGGCCAGTGGCTCCCATGGTCATGTGCCACTGTCATGCCTCCTTTGCTATGCAGGGGGTCCTTTGGTCAGCTTCGACATTATATGAGACCCTGTGTCAGACATTCAGTAAGCACTCAAGAAAGTGGTGCTGGCTGAGGCCCTATAGACAAAAAAGGCAAACCATACCCAGCACGCAGCAATTCCAATCAAAATAAATTGTTGCCATTTCCAGGATGGAAGGCATCCAATGTAGGCAACTTGTCATCAAGTGGCTGGCTGTTCTCTATGAGGAATTCTGCCATTTGGGGGGCTCAGCATTTAATTCATGGCTGGCAGACTGGGCGTTCAGCAGCGGCAGTAGCTACATCAGCCCTTGTGAACAGGAGCCCGTGCTCTCGGGTCCACGTAGTGTTCTCATCCCTGCCACGGTGGCTACTCTATTCACTGCCAGTGCCGAGGTGGCTGATAGCATCTGGCTGACACCAGCTGGCGAGTCACTGTCTCTGCTTGGTTGTTTAGTGCCTCTCTCATCGTAGATGCTCTCTGGTGGGCATCTGCATACCTTTTGCCCATAGACAAGATTTAGAAATTTTGTCCTTGATCTTCTTTCTACTCCTGGGCCCTTCTTTCTCTCTCAACCAGCCAAGCCATCTGCTAGTGCCATGAGCCCATACACAGTCCAACCTTGGCTACAAAGCGGATGCCCAGGTGCACCACTGAGAGGATTTATTCATTAGGAGAATTTCCCTTGCCACTGTCTTTCAAGATTACCCTAGGGTGAGGTGATAGTGCAGCCACAGTTCATTTTCAGCTTGCACCCACATACCACTCTGACCTATAAGCAAATCAAACTGGTTTTTTCCCTCCTTTATCAGCTGGTCATAAGGGGACTCCACCTTCTATGCAGCCTTGGGTGTGAGCTGAGGGAGAGGCATCCGTGCACAAACAGCAGGTGACAAAGATATGTAGGCCATCTGTTCGTGTGGCTTACTGTGCCCCTGGCACATCCCAATTCTGGATGTACCCCTTCTGTCTTACTACGGATTATGGCTGGGCCTATTCAACTTTGTTGTGGGTCTAACAGGCAGAACACAACTTATATAACATGAGTTCATGATGAAGAATTTTGAATCAACTTAAATGTATACAGAGGGAATAAACTTTTTCAACATTGTTCTGGGGATACAAAAGCAAAACAAAGTTTGATAATGGACTGGAAGAGAGGTTAGGCCAGAGAGTATTATTAAGGTCTGAACTACAAAGTGGTAGAGAGAATGGTGTAGAAGAAATGGATTTTTAAAATTCTAAAGAATTGACAGGTACAGAAATGGATACAGCAAGCAGGTTTATGCCATCCTTTCAAAATCAAAATCATAGCTGTAAAAGGAAGGAGAAGGAGGTGGTATCCGGGAAGAGGAAAAGTTAAGTCTCTGTTTTTCCAAAGCTTTTTTGAAGATGAACTTAATTGTTTTATGTACCAAGGGGAAAGAGGCAAAAAAGATGGGAAAAACAGCCAGATTAGAGGGGCTCAGCTGGCGATCCTGAGAATTCATTTTGGTAAGCAGAATAAAACAAAACAAACAGAAAGTGAAACAAAAAAGAAACAAGAAGAAATGCTAAGCTCCTTTTAATCAAAGTAAGGACAGTAGGAAAATTCAACCTCTCCCCTCATACTCCCTTCCAGCCATCCCACCATCACTGTGAAAACCCTGGCTCAACAAAGTATCAAACACTATTTTCTGTTATATATCCAATTCTCCTTACCCACTTTCAAGGGAAAATAAACGTCAGTACTAATCCTCAGAGTAAAATCAGACCGTCTGGACAGATCGAAATTTCAGCTCCCAGTAGAGTTCTTTTTTTTTTCCTTTTTGGAGAAACATCTTTTATTAAGAACATCTAAAATTGCTCAAAGAGGTGCATTAAAAGTAAAATTTCTAAATGCACTGCCTTGGCACGCACAGTCCCTTTCACATCGACTTCCTTTTACAGTATTTTGTTTGTCAATCGGGTGCTTAAAAATGTAAGGGAACAATTTCGTGTAAGGTTTCCCTATTGGACATCCCGCATTTTCGTTTTAATGAGATTGGGTACAGAATAGTAATTTAATGCCCTTTCAAGATCATTTACGCAGGTTCATGGATGGTGCAAAACTGTTTATCTTCTCACGCTGCCACCTTTGGGTCAAAGAAGAGAGGGACAGCTACTACTCGACAGGGGCATCTGCTCCAAGCAGTTCCATTCTGCTACCCTTTTACCAAAGGGCTACCGCATTTCCAGACTGCGACGGGTCACTTGCCCACGCAGCTCTCTGGAAAGTGTCCTGGGCTCTAAGGATGTCACACCTGCCCACTCTTGCGTCGCGGGTTCGCAGACAGAAGGCAAGTGCTCAGGCTCCGACCCTCGGAGGCGGTCTCGGCGTCCCGGGAGCTTCGGGGAGAGCCACCCGGGGAGGCCAAGGGAGCTTTTGATGGCAGCTGCCACCAAGCCTCAGCATGGTCTCCATTCCCCAAAGGTGTCTACACCGTTCCGCCCCTGGCCCCCCAACCTGCACACACGCAGCGCCCCGCAGAGGCAATACCGAGACCCCATCCCACCCTAGGCTCAAATTGAACGAGGCGACGGGCCGCCGGGCTCTCGGAGCAATTGTGCGAGCACCGCGCAGGAGTCTAGCAGGTACCTGGCCGCGCCCCCTCACGGGGCGGGGTCGGGTGGCCGGAAGATGGCGGCGGCGGCGGGGTCTGACGGTCAGTCTCCGAGGCGCCCTTGACTAACTCCCGCCGCCGCGCCACCTAGCTTGCTAGCAAGGGGTCCCGGCGCGCCGCGCTAAGGGGCGGGGAGGGGCGGTGACTAGCACT